ACAGTGGGATTCGTATTGTGTGGAGTTCTGGGAAGGAGCAGGAGAGGGTAAATTATTGTGCAGAGATGAGGAAACATGGAGGCTTACATTAATGGAGGCACTGTGGAGCTGTCAGGTACTGGGGGAGAAGGGGAAAAGAGCACAAGACTTCTATGGATATTGATTTGGGTTGTAGTAGCACTGTTGGTGGGAGAGTGGTAGGTACCACTCTTTGTGTATATTTGGGAGGATTGAATGTGGTTTTAATGTGGGAGCTTTTATTTTGTCATTTGGATCCATGAATAAATAAAGTTTTAAAAAAGGTATTGTCCCAATTCTTCAATGGCACAGCATCCCCTGTAACTCTAATAACCCATATGAAAATATACTAGACATCTCATGAATTGTATTGGTTGGTAGCAAGATTAGAAATGAAGTCTTTAGCTGTGCAGTCTCGGATGGTTTCTTCCTTGAGTAACTGCAGGATATCTTTCCTGAAATTCCCACTATTGCTTCCACCAGTAAGAAATTTGAAGGAAAAAATCCTACTGTAGATGCAACAATAGTGAATGTACATTATTTCAATAACATATGAATGCTGACCTTCATCCTTCACACAAAGAGCATCATATCTGCCACTCAGAAAGGGGTCGGTTTCAATTTTAACATCAATGGCTTTCACATTCTGCTGCTTGCTGCCTGTCTTACTGCATACCATTGTCCTAAAACAGAGAAGACAAAAAGAAATCAAAGTTCTCTTTTAATTATACCATGCTTGCTGGCATTTGGTGATTTTACATCACTTCAATCAGGCAGTAGCATTGCATAAGTCTTTATAAAGAGAGAGTCAAAGTGTTAAAGGAGCTTAGAGGTAGACATGTATAAAAGGGAAACTAAAAAAGGAAGTAATTTAAAGAATGCCTTCCCGTGTATCATTTCAAGTGCATAGGAAGCCATAACAAAATGTTGGATTAGCAGTTTGTGCAACATAAATCTAACCATTAGTGAAATCTCAATATTGTGCAGATCACTTGCACTAGAATTTTCTGTTGGCCTCTGTGGCCATGTCCAGATGAGCATGGCTGTGCAATATGTGGTGCCGTAGACACATCTGCAGCACCACATACCACATATTCAACTGTTCCCCACACTGCAAGGTAGCAGCGTCAGTAGGGAGGGAGGGGTTGACCCTGGGAGATCTCAGGGTCAAAACACCCATGCAAAAAAAAGCAGAGTGGTGCACACAAGGCCAATACACGCTACCAAAAACCAAAGCCTGAAAGGTCAAAGCTACACTCCAGCTGCTCTGGCTCCAACCAGTGGCAGGCTCCGAGTGGCAGGATTGCTGCTGCTGCACCTCCAGGAA